GGGTCCCAGTGACAGCAGGAGATCCCAGTTAGTCAGTGGATCCCAGTGACACTAGGAGATCCCAGTTAGAGTCAGTGGATCCCAGTGACAGCAGGAGATCCCAGTTACAGTCAGTGAATCCCAGTGACGCTGGGAGATCCCAGTTACAGTCAGTGGATCCCAGTGACACCGGGAGATCCCGGTAACACCAGTGGATCCCGGTGACACCGGGAGATCCCAGTTACAATCAGTGGATCCCAGCGACACTGGAAGATCCCAGATACAGTCAGTAGATCCCAGTGACACCGGGAGATCCCAGTCACAGCCAGCACCTCCCAGTGCCACCAGCGGCTCCCAGTGACACCGGGAGATCCCAGTTACAGTCATTGGATCCCGGTGACACCAGTGGATCCCAGTGACACCAGGAGATCCCAGTCACAGCCAGCAGCTCCCAGTGCCACCAGCGGCTCCCAGTGACACTGGGAGATCCCAGTTACAGTCAGTGGATTCCGGTGACACCAGCGGCTCCCAATGACAGTCAATGGATCCTGGTGACACCAGCGGCTCCCAGTGACACTGGGAGATTCCAGTTACAGTCAGTAGATCCCAGTGACACCAGGAGATCCCAGTCACCGCCAGCACCTCCCGGTGCCACCCGCGGCCAGCGGCACCGTCGGAGCCCGGCGCGTCCCCGCCCTAGGGACACCTGAGGGACGCGTTGCGGAAGTGCGGCCACAGCCGCAGCAGCTCCCGGGGCCCGTAGTGGTGCACCATGACCAGGCGCGAGAAGCGGCAGCGCTCGTAGTCCAGCCGGTACATGGTGAAGGCGCCGGGCGGCGGGTCGGTGACGCCCACGCCCAGCGCGTGCAGGCAGATGCCCACGAAGGCGTCCTCCATGTTGATGACGGGCAGCGTCTGCGCCACGCCGAAGACGCGCAGCGCCAGGTCCCCCGAGAGCACGTAGCCGGGCCCGCCGCAGTAGGGCGGGTACGTGTCGTTGGGGTACACCTCCCGCGGCACGAACCACTTGTAGGCGCGGTTCCGCAGCGGCCCGGTCCAGCGGTACACGTAACCCGTCAGGAAATCCGTCCTGGGCGGCCTCAGCAGCCCCGCCAGGTACTCCAGGTTGAGGAAGACGTCGTGGTCGGCCTTCATCACGTAGCTGGCGTTGGGACAGAAGCGGCTCACCCACTCCAAGCCCATCAGCGTCTTGAGCGTCAGGTTGTTGTAGGTGTCCAGGAAATCCTGCTGCAGCAGATCGCCGTGCAGCTCGTCCTCCTCCTGCAGCACGGGGCGCAGCTCGGCGCCGAACACGGGGTGCACGCCCAGCAGGAAGAGCCGCAGCACCGACAGCCCCGGCACGGCGCCCTCGTCGCCCCAGGTGCGGCGCACGGCGTCGCGGGCCTCCAGGTCGGCCGGGGACGTCACCACCAGCAGCACCAGGAACGGCGCCCGCTCCCGGCACTTGTCGGGGTGGTTCAGCAGGAAGCGGTAGGGGTAGGGGTACGGCGGCTGCAGGGGGTGCCGCCGCGGCCGTGGGGGCTCCGTGGCGTTGGCGGGGCTGNNNNCGGCGGGCGTGCAGCGCCAGCAGGGTCAGCGCCGCGGCCGCCGGCAGCAGGAGCAGGCGGCAGCTCGGGGGGAGCTTCATGGTTCACCTGTTGGGGAGGGGGGAGAGGAGGTTGGGGTGGGCTCGGCACCGGGAGCGGGGGGTTGGCATCACCAGCCGCGACACCGGAATCCTGCTGGGCATCGCAGTCCTGATGTGCCCGAATGTTGGCGCTCAAATCACACCGGCACCGGGATCCCGGCCAGATCCTGCTGCCTGAGCACCCCAATCCCCCCCAGATCCCTCCCTGAGCACCCCAATCCCCCCCAGATCCCTCCCTGAGCACCCCAATCCCCCCCAGATCCCTCCCTGAGCACCCCAATCCCCCCCAGATCCCTCCCTGAGCACCCCAATCCCCCCCAGATCCCTCCCTGAGCACCCCAATCCCCCCCAGATCCCTCCCTGAGCACCCCAATCCCCCCCAGATCCCTCCCTGAGCACCCCAATCCCCCCCAGATCCCTCCCTGAGCACCCCAATCCCCCCCAGATCCCTCCCTGAGCACCCCAATCCCCCCCAGATCCCTCCCTGAGCACCCCAATCCCCCCCAGATCCCTCCCTGAGCACCCCAATCCCCCCCAGATCCCTCCCTGAGCACCCCAATCCCCCCCAGATCCCTCCCTGAGCACCCCAATCCCCCCCAGATCCCTCCCTGAGCACCCCAATCCCCCCCAGATCCCTCCCTGAGCACCCCAATCCCCCCCAGATCCCTCCCTGAGCACCCCAATCCCCCCCAGATCCCTCCCTGAGCACCCCAATCCCCCCCAGATCCCTCCCTGAGCACCCCAATCCCCCCCAGATCCCTCCCTGAGCACCCCAATCCCCCCCAGATCCCTCCCTGAGCACCCCAATCCCCCCCAGATCCCTCCCTGAGCACCCCAATCCCCCCCAGATCCCTCCCTGAGCACCCCAATCCCCCCCAGATCCCTCCCTGAGCACCCCAATCCCCCCCAGATCCCTCCCTGAGCACCCCAATCCCCCCCAGATCCCTCCCTGAGCACCCCAATCCCCCCCAGATCCCTCCCTGAGCACCCCAATCCCCCCCAGATCCCTCCCTGAGCACCCCAATCCCCCCCAGATCCCTCCCTGAGCACCCCAATCCCCCCCAGATCCCTCCCTGAGCACCCCAATCCCCCCCAGATCCCTCCCTGAGCACCCCAATCCCCCCCAGATCCCTCCCTGAGCACCCCAATCCCCCCCAGATCCCTCCCTGAGCACCCCAATCCCCCCCAGATCCCTCCCTGAGCACCCCAATCCCCCCCAGATCCCTCCCTGAGCACCCCAATCCCCCCCAGATCCCTCCCTGAGCACCCCAATCCCCCCCAGATCCCTCCCTGAGCACCCCAATCCCCCCCAGATCCCTCCCTGAGCACCCCAATCCCCCCCAGATCCCTCCCTGAGCACCCCAATCCCCCCCAGATCCCTCCCTGAGCACCCCAATCCCCCCCAGATCCCTCCCTGAGCACCCCAATCCCCCCCAGATCCCTCCCTGAGCACCCCAATCCCAGCCAGATCCCACTGCCTGAGCACCCCAGTCCCACCCAGATCCCACTGTGACCACCCCAATCCCAGCCAGATCCCACTCTGAGCACCCCAATCCCAGCCAGATCCCAATCCCAGCCAGATCCCACTGCCTGAGCACCCCAGTCCCTCTCCCCCCCCATCCCGGCTCCTGATAAGGCTCCGGACGTGATAAGGGCAGGAGGCGCCGCCGGGGGCCCTCCAGTTCCACCAGTCAGACCAGTTTGGGGTCTCGGGGGAGCCCTGGCGGTCCTGGGGCTGAGTCCAGCTCTGCCCAGTTCATCCCAGTTCACCCTCAGGCCTTCCCAGTTCAGCCCTGGCTTTGCCAAGCCGCCTTTCCCAGTTCCCCCCAGTTGGCCCAGGTGCCACCTCCAGCCCTTCCCAGTTCCCTCAGCCTTTCCCAGTTAACCCCAGTGGCTCCCAGTTAACCCCAGGGGCTGCTCCCAGCCCTTCCCAGTGCTCCCAGTGTGTCCCAGTGGCTCCCAGTTAACCCCAGTGCCTCCCACAGTTAACCCCAGTGGCTCCCAGTTAAGCCCAGGGGCTGCTCCCAGCCCTTCCCAGTTCCCCCAGCACTGGGTGGGGGGTGAGTCCCTCTCTATCAGCTGGCTGCACCCCAGGCAGGGTGGGACAGAGGGACAGAGGGACAAAGGGACAAAGGCCACCCCGCGTTGCCGGGAATGAGGAGCAGCATCACCGGGAAATCCGCGCTGGGACTGCCCCGTGCCTCCCAGTTAACCCCGGAGCTGCTCCCAGTGCCTCCCAGTTAACCCCGGGGCTGCTCCCAGTGCCTCCCAGTGCCTCCCAGTGCGTCGCAGTGACTCCCAGTGGCTCCCAGTTAACCCCAGGTGCTGCTCTCAGCCCTTCCCAGTGTCTCCCAGTAACTCCCAGTTCCTCTTGGTGGCTCCCAGTTAATTTCAGGCACTACTCCCAGCCCTTCCCGATGCTCCCAGTGTGTCCCAGTGGCTCCCAGTTAACCCCAGGTGCTGCTCTCAGCCCTTCCCAGTGTCTCCCAGTAACTCCCAGTTCCTCTTGGTGGCTCCCAGTTAATTTCAGGCACTACTCCCACCCCTTCCCAGTGTGTCCCAGTGACTCCCAGTGCGTCCCAGTGCCTCCCAGTTAACCCCAGGGGCTGCTCCCAGTGTGTCCCAGTGCCTCCCAGTTAACTGCAAGTGCCAGTCCAAGCCCTTCCCAATGCTCCCAGTGCCTCCCAGTTAACCCCAGGCACTGTTCCCAGTGCCTCCCAGTGGCTCCCAGCCCTTCCCAGTGCCTCCCAGTGTGTTCCAGTGCCTCCCAGTTAATCCCAAGTGCTGCTCTCAGCCCTTCCCAGTGCTCCCAGTGACTCCAGTCACAGCTCCAGCCCTTCCCAGTGCTCCCAGTGCCTCCCAGTTAACCCCAGATGCTGCTCTCAGCCCTTCCCAGTGTCTCCCAGTAACTCCCAGTGTGTCCCAGTGTCTCCCAGTGACTCCCAGTGACTACCAGTGTGTCCCAGTGACTCCCAGTGTGTCCCAGTCACTCACAGCGTGTCCCAGTGGCTCCCAGTGAGCTCCAGTCTCAGCTCCAGCCCTTCCCAGTGCTCCCAGTGCCTCCCAGTTAACCCCAGGTGCTGCTCTCAGCCCTTCCCAGTGTGTCCCAGTGACTCCCAGTGTCTCCCAGTAACTCCCAGTGTCTCCCAGTCACTCACAGCGGCTCCCAGTGACTCCAGTCGCAGCTCCAGCCCTTCCCAGTGCTCCCAGTATCCCGCCCGCCGTGGCTCTGTGCCCGCGGTGCCCGGCAGGGGCAGAAATGTGCGGGCACGGGTGACGCAGGTGCCACACCCGGCCCGGGCCACGCCCCCCGGGCCACACCCAGCCCTCCTCAAACTTCCTGCTGCGGTCACACAGTGCCACCACACAGGTGTCACCATGGCCACAAAGGTGTCACCATGGCCACGCAGGTGTCACTATGGACACACAGGTGTCATTGTCCAGGTGTCACTATGGACACACAGGTGTCACTGTCCAGGTGTCCCCGTCGGCGTCGCTGTCCAGGTGTCACTATGGACACACAGGTGTCACTGTCCAGGTGTCCCCATGGGTGTCACTGTCCAGGTGTCACTATGGACACACAGGTGTCACTGTCCAGGTGTCCCCATGGCCATGCAGGTGTCCCCATGGGTGTCACTGTCCAGGTGTCTCCATGGCCATGCAGGTGTCCCCATGGACACACAGGTGTCACTGTCCAGGTGTCACCATGGCCAGGCAGGTGTCACCATGGCCACAAAGGTGTCACCATGGCCACGCAGGTGTCACTGTCCAGGTGTCCCCATGGCCACGCAGGTGTCACCATGGCCACACAGGTGTCCCCATGGCCACCAGGACCCCCCCAGCCCCATCTGGAACCACGTCAGCCATTTCCTTTCCAAACTCTTTTATTTCCCACCCCTTAAAAACCCCAAAGTAGTAAAAAAAAAAACCCCAAAATGTATAAAAACACACGAGAGGGGGGGAAGGGGACCCACCCACCTCGGAGACCCCCCCAGACCCTCCCCAGAGCCCCCCGCCCACCTCTGGCACGTGGGGCAGCCGCAGTCGGCGTCGACGGGCCGGAAATCTTTGGCGAATTGCTGATTTTTCAGCTGCAGGGACCCCCAGGGCACCAGGGCGGAACCGAAACGCTGCGGGGGGAGCGGGGTGGGTTACGGGGGTCTCCCCAAAACCCCGGGGAGGGGTCCCCAAACCCCCCTCAGCCCCCCTTACCGCCGTGCGGGTGGGGAACACGCAGTCGAACATGTCACAGCCCAGCGCGACGCAGACCACCAGGTCGGTGGCGTAGCTGGGGGCGAATTGGGGGTGACTCCGGGGGTCTCCCCCAGCCCGGCCGGCTCTGGGGTGTGGGGAGGGGGGCTGAGGGGACCCCCCGGACTCACCCCACGCCCATCAGGTAGCGGGGTTTGTCCCGGGGCAGGTGCTCGGCGCTCAGCTTCACCGTGCGCCAGAAGCGCGCCTTGGCCTCGCCCCCGCTCAGGCCCCCGATGGCAAAACCGGGCACGTCCCGCTGGGTCATGGCTGTGAAAGGGGGGTGGGACCCCCAGATCACCCTGGGACCCCCAAATCACCCTGGGACCCCCCAGGTCACCCCTGGACTGCCCTGAGCCCCCTGGACTCCCTCGAGCCCCAGTGTGGAACCGGGCACGTCCCGCTGGGTCATGGCTGTGAAAGGGGGGTGGGACCCCCAGATCAGTCCTGAGCCTCCCCCCTGGGACCCCCAGATCACCCTGGGACCCCCAAATCACCCCTGAGCCCCTTGAGCCACCCAGACCCCCTTGAGCCCCAGTGTGGAACCGGTATGTCCTGCTGGGTCATGGCTGTGAGGGGGAGTGGGACCCCCAGAGCACCCCAGATCACCCCTGAGCCTCCCCCCGAGACCCCCAGATCACCCCTGAGACTCCCCCCGGGACCCCCAAATCACCCTGGGACCCCCAGATCACCCTGGGACCCCCCAGGTCACCCCTGGACTCCCTCGAGCCCCAGTGTGGAACCAGGCACGTCCTGCTGGGTCATGGCTGTGAAAGGGGGGTGGGACCCCCAGATCAGTCCTGAGCCTCCCCCCTGGGACCCCCAAATCACCCTGGGACCCCCAAATCACCCTGGGACCCCCCAGGTCACCCCTGGACTGCCCTGAGCCCCCTGGACTCCCTCGAGCCCCAGTGTGGAACCGGGCACGTCCCGCTGGGTCATGGCTGTGAAAGGGGGGTGGGACCCCCAGATCACCCTGGGACCCCCAAATCACCCCTGAGCCCCTTGAGCCACCCAGACCCCCTTGAGCCCCAGTGTGGAACCGGTATGTCCTGCTGGGTCATGGCTGTGAGGGGGAGTGGGACCCCCAGAGCACCCCAGATCACCCCTGAGCCTCCCCCCGAGACCCCCAGATCACCCCTGAGACTCCCCCCGGGACCCCCCAATCACCCCGGGAGGGGGGCTGAGGGGACCCCCCGGACTCACCCCACGCCCATCAGGTAGCGGGGTTTGTCCCGGGGCAGGTGCTCGGCGCTCAGCTTCACCGTGCGCCAGAAGCGCGCCTTGGCCTCGCCCCCGCTCAGGCCCCCGATGGCAAAACCGGGCACGTCCCGCTGGGTCATGGCTGTGAAAGGGGGGTGGGACCCCCAGATCAGTCCTGAGCCTCCCCCCTGGGACCCCCAAATCACCCTGGGACCCCCAGATCACCCTGGGACCCCCAAATCACCCCTGAGCCACCTGGACCCCCTTGAGACCCAGTGTGGAACTGGGCACGTCCCGCTGGGTCATGGCTGCGAGGGGCGGTGGGACCCCCAGATCAGTCCTGAGCCTCCCCCCTGGGACCCCCAAATCACCCTGGGACCCCCAAATCACCCTGGGACCCCCAAATCACCCTGGGACCCCCAAATCACCCTGGGACCCCCAAATCACCCTGGGACCCCCAAATCACCCTGGGACCCCCAAATCACCCTGGGACCCCCAAATCACCCTGGGACCCCCAAATCACCCCTGAACCTCCCCCCAGGTCACCCCCAGATCACTCCTGAGCCTCCCCCCAGGACCACCGGAGCTCCCCCAGGTCCCCCTGAGCTGCCTCAGGACCCCCAGAGCCCCTCCCAAGCAGGGATGAGGTGGAGGAGGGTGAGGAGGAAGGCCTGGGAATGAGGGTGAGGATGACGAGGATGACGAGTGGGGAGGAAGGCCCAGGGATGAGGTTGAGGATGCCGAGGAGGGGAAGAAGGCCTGGGGATGAGGGTGAGGACGAGGATGACGAGGGGAGGAAGGCCCGGGGATGAGGATGATGACGGGGGGAGGAAGGCCCAGGGATGAGGTTGAGGATGACAAGGAGGGGAAGAAGGCCTGGGGATGAGGGTGATGACGAGGATGACGAGGGGAGGAAGGCCCGGGGATGAGGATGATGACGGGGGGAGGAAGGCCCAGGGATGAGGTTGAGGATGACGAGGAGGGGAAGAAGGCCCGGGCATGAGGATGATGATGAGGATGATGAGGGGAGGAAGGCCCGGGGATGAGGCTGAGGATGATGATGCGGGGAGGAAGGCCCGGGGATGAGGATGATGATGAGGATGATGAGCAGGGGAGGAAGGCCCACCTCGGATGCAGCGCAGGCGCAGCTCGGGGTCCAGCCCCCCCTGCACGATGGCGAAGAGCAGCTGCTGCTGCGGGCGGGCGTGAGCGGCCACGCAGCGATCCAGCCAGCGCACGGACCTGGGGGGCAGACGGGGGTCCTGGGGGTCTCACAGGGGTCCCGGGGGGGTCCTGGGGGGTCTCAGGAGGAGGTCCTGGGGGGTCTCAGGCTGTTTTGGGGGGGGGTCTCAGGGTGTTTTGGGGGGGTCCCAGGGGGTCCCCACCTGTGCATGGCCTCCTCGACGCGCGGCCCCGTGGTGGTGCTGCTCACGACGTCATCCAGCTGCATCACGATATCGGCCCCTGTGTCGCGACAGGGGGGGCGGGGTCACCGCCGTCCTCCCCGCCCCCCGCGGTTTGGGGGTCCCACCCCCCCGGATTTTGGGGTCCCACCCTCCGAGATTTGGGGTCCCTCTTCCCCAGGATTTGGGGGTCCCTCCCCCGGGATCTGGGGGTCTCTCTCCCCCAGGTTTGGGTGTTCCATCCCCGGGATTTGGGGGTCCCTGCCCCAGGATTTGGGGGTTCCATCCCCCGGGATTGTGGGTCCCAGCTCTGGGATTTAGGGGCCCCTCCCCTGAGGATTTGGGGTCACATCCCCCGAGATTTGGGGGGGGGTCACATCCCCCGAGATTTGGGGGGTCCCTCCCCTCGGGATTTGGGGTCCCACCCCCGTCTTTCCCACCCCCCAGATTTGAGGGTCCCTCCCCCCGGGATTTCGGGATCCCCCCCCAGGTTTGGTGGTTCCATCCCCAGGATTTGGGGGTCCCTCCCCCCGGGATTTGGGGGTCCCATCCCCGGGATTTGGGGGTCTCTCCCCCAGGGATTTGGGGGTCCCTCTTCCCCAGGTTTGGGTGTTCCATCCCCGGGATTTGGGGGTCCCTCCCCCAAGGATTTGGGGGTCCCTCCCCCCAGGTTTGGGGGTCTCTCTCCCCCCGGGATTTGGGGGTCCCTCCCCCCAGGATTTTGGGGTCTCTCTCCCCCAGGTTTGGGTGTTCCATCCCCGGGTTTGGGGGTCCATCCCCAGGTTTGGGGGTCTCTCTCCCCCAGGATTTGGGGGTCTCTCCCCCGGGTTTGGGGGTCCCTCCCCGGGGATTTGGGGGTCCCCCCTGACCCAGCTCGTTCTGGATCTCCATGGATCTCTCGGGGCTCAGCAGGATCTCCTCCCCGCCGTGGGGGGGCCGGAACCGAACCCCCTCCTCCGACACCTGCGACAGCTCCAGCAGCGAGACCATCTGGAACCCCCCGCTGTCCTGGGGGACCCCAAAAACGGGCGCTGAGGGGGCGGGGACCCCCGGGACCCCCCCGGGACCCCCCGGGACCCCCCAGAACCCCCCGGGATTGGGGACAGCGGGTGCCAGGATCCCCCCGAGGCTCACGGGGACACACCTGGGGGTCCCCATCCCCACCGGGGGTCCCGGGGGTGTCGCCCCGTGAGTCAGGGCAGCTCTGGGGGTGCCCCCCCCCCCCAAAATTTGGGGGTCCCCCCCCCCCCCCACCGTCAGCAGGTTGTGGGGCCAGTCCATGAAACCGTGCAGGCCACCGGAACGCGGGACCGGTGTTCCATCCCCGGGTTTGGGGGTCCATCCCCAGGTTTGGGGGTCTCTCTCCCCCAGGATTTGGGGGTCTCTCCCCCGGGTTTGGGGGTCCCTCCCCGGGGATTTGGGGGTCCCCCCTGACCCAGCTCGTTCTGGATCTCCATGGATCTCTCGGGGCTCAGCAGGATCTCCTCCCCGCCGTGGGGGGGCCGGAACCGAACCCCCTCCTCCGACACCTGCGACAGCTCCAGCAGCGAGACCATCTGGAACCCCCCGCTGTCCTGGGGGACCCCAAAAACGGGCGCTGAGGGGGCGGGGACCCCCGGGACCCCCCCGGGACCCCCCGGGACCCCCCAGAACCCCCCGGGATTGGGGACAGCGGGTGCCAGGATCCCCCCGAGGCTCACGGGGACACACCTGGGGGTCCCCATCCCCACCGGGGGTCCCGGGGGTGTCGCCCCGTGAGTCAGGGCAGCTCTGGGGGTGCCCCCCCCCCCAAAATTTGGGGGTCCCCCCCCCCACTCACCGTCAGCAGGTTGTGGGGCCAGTCCATGAAACCGTGCAGGCCACCGGAACGCCGGACCAGCTCCGAGCCCTGCGGGAAAGGGAGAGCAGGGCTGGGAAGGCGGCGGGAGCACGGGAACCGAACCGGGAACCGAACCGGGAACCCCCCGGTAATCCCCCGGTAACGGCGGGGGCTGCGCCGGAATCCCCCGGGAACCCGCGGGAGCAGCGGCGTCAGCTCCGACCTCACCCGGAATTTAGGAATTGAAGGCAGGGGAGCCCCCCCGGAGCTTCCCGGAGCCCCCCGGTGCCGCTCACCGGCCGCGTGCCCAGGTGGAAGGTGTTGCCGAGGCAGATGCGGCAGCCGAGCGCCGCCAGCTGCGCGGCCGTCAGGCCCTTGGCGGTGCCGCGGGTGCCCACGGGCATGAACACCGGGCAGGGCACGGTGCCGTGCGGCAGCCGCAGCTCCCCGGCCCGGGCGCGGCTCCGCCCGCACTCGGCCACGATCCGCAGCACCGGCGGCGGCCCCGCCGCGGGCGCCGCCATCTTCGCCGCACGTGACCGGAAGAGGCGGTGGAAGCGCCGCCGGAAGTGACCGTTACCGCGGCAACGCGGGCGCCATGTTGGGCCTTGCGGGGATGGGGAACGGCCGAGAACGGAGATGCCCAAAGCACCGTCAGAGATCGCCCAAACCGAGCAGAGACCCCTCGCAGACCCCGGCAGGGCGGGGAGCGGAGCTAATTCCTGCCGGTTCTGGTTTCGGGGGGGGTTTCCAGCCCCGGGGCTTCGCTTCGGGACTGTCGTTCCCCGTGAGCGAACGCACGGCGCTCCGCGGTCACGGGAGGGCCGCGAAGCACCGGAACGGCAATGGGCGAGAAGGACTCGCTGAACGGCGGCCGGCTGATCCACTGCGAGAGGGTTTTCTGTTCCCTAAGATTCCTCTCTCGGTTGCACTGCTCAGCGCGCTCGGAGTGGCGTGTGGAACGGAAGGGAGGGCGGGGAGGCAGAGCAGGGCGGGCTCCCGGGGCTGCTCCGGGCCGCGCTCCCGAGGGAAGCTCTGTCCGCCAATTCAATGGCGGAACCGGTGAGGGGCGGGACCGCATCCCCGCCGCCTCAGCTGACACAGCAGCGCCACCTCCCATTGGCTGTCAGCGAAGAGCGACGGCCGAGAGACCAATAAAGAACGGGCTTGTCTTCCCGGTGCCGCCCTTTCGGATGATTGACAGCGCTATGCGCCTATTCGCTCTACACGCTGCGTTGACGGACAGCTTAGTCTGCCAATGGCGACGCGCGCTGCGGGAGCAGGGCGGGCCCGGCGGTGCCGGATGAGGAGACTCTGAGGGGAAGTTTGGCCGCCGCCGCCGCCGCGGGCCCCGTGAGGAGGAGCCGCCGCCGGGAGCGCGGGCCCGGCACCGCCGCGCCGCCATGGGCAACCGGGGCATGGAGGAGCTCATCCCGCTGGTCAACAAGCTGCAAGACGCCTTCAGCTCCATCGGCCAGAGCTGCCACCTCGACCTGCCGCAGATCGCCGTGGTGGGCGGGCAGAGCGCCGGCAAGAGCTCGGTGCTCGAGAACTTCGTGGGCCGGTGAGCGGCGGCGGCGAGGGCGGCGGCGGGCCGGGGCGGCGGCGGGCGGCGCCACGGGCGTAGCGAGCGTTCGGGAATAGCGGCGGCGTAAGGGCGCGGCCGGGG